GCCACAGGTGATGACCTGGTGAGGAGACTGCAGATGCTTGACCACCTGGGTGACAGCGATCATCGCCTGCTGGAATTCACCATCCAGTGCAAGGTGGCAAAGGCTTGCAGCAAGGCAGCAGCCCTGGACTTCAGGAGGGAAGATTTCAATGAGGTAAGGAGAATAGTCAGGGAGGCACTGGGGTGCCTGAGGGGAGAGGAGTCGGATGTCCAAGAAGAGTGGTCATTCCTTAAGGAGACAATCCTCCAAGCCCAAGAGGTGGTAATCCCAACACGGATCAAAGGGGGCAAGAGGGCTCAAAAGCCCCCATGGTTCACCAAAAGCATATGGGAATGTGTCCTAGCTAAAAAGAAGGCATACACCCAATGGAAGGGAAGGGCCATCACCAGGGAGGCCTCAGTTTCTCGGGGCTGTAAGGGCTGTAAGGGGGCAATCAGGAAGGCCAAGGCAGAGATGGAACTGGGACTAGCTACCCAGATCAAGGACAACAAGAAGTCCCTTTTTAAATATACAGGGGGTAAAAAGAAGGTACCGGGTAACATGGGGCCTCTGCAGGACATGCTAGGAAATCTGGTCATTGCACCAGACAGCAAAGCTAACCTATTTAATAATTTCTTTGCCTCCATTTTTCTGAGCAGGGACTGGGTCACCCCTCCCCACCACTTGGACCCCCATAGGACCTCGGGGCTCCACAATTCAAAAAGGATATGAAGAAGCTTGAGAGAGTCCAAAGGAGAGTCACGTGCATGATCAGAGGGCAGGAAAACAGGCCTTATGATGAGAGGCTGAAAGCTATGGGACTCTTCAGCCTGGAAAAGAGCAGGCTCGGGGGGGCCTGGTGGCTGCCTGTAAGTATATAAGAGGTGTACACCAAGATCTGGGGGAACATCTGTTCACCAGAGTAGGCCCCATGGGATGACAAGGTCAAACGGTCACAGACTTCTCCAATACCATTTCAGGCTGGACATAAGAAAGAACTTCTCTACAGTCCAAGCCCCCAAGGCCTGGAACAAACTGCCACCAGAGGTGGTGCAAGCACCTGCTCTGGACTCCTTTAAGAGTCAATTGGATGTTTATCTTGCTGGGATCCTATGACCCCAGCTGACTTCCTGCCCCTGGGGCAGGGGGCTGGACTTGATGATCTTCTGAGGTACCTTTCAGCCCCCTAATGTCTATAAAGTAACAAATCTTTTTTTCCCACTTCTTTTATAGGGAAATGTTATAAAATAGTAAACCATCTTAGGTGAAATAATTATTCTGAAATAAATATTTTAAAATAAATTGGGAACGAGTGTTGTGTTTGGGTTTGATCCCGCTTCCATAGTAGTGAATAAAAATCCTTCCATTGGTTACATAGGTGCTGCATCAAGATAGGAAGAAATAGTTCTCCATTATAATTGGCTCAACTGACAGATAATTTTCGGGCTTTTCTGGTGGGAAAGTTTATCAGTGTAGCTTCCATAGGTCAGCCGGTGCTGTGTGTGTGTGTGTGTGTGT